GTGTGTGTGTGTGTGTGTGTGTGTGTGTGTGTGTGTCTAAGTAAGCATATGAGCCTGAGAGAGCATGAGTGAAGGCTAGAGCGCCATGTCAGGTGTCTTTCTGTCATCCCTCTTATTTCCTGAGTTAGGGTCTCTCACTGAACCTGGCACTCACCATCTGGCTAGACTGGCGAGCCGGTATACTCTAGGACCCTTCTGTCTCCACCCACCAGTGCTGGCACTGCAGACACGCCACCACACCTGGCTGTACCCGAGCACAGCAGCTACTTTATCCACTGAGCCATGTCCTGGCCTCGTGTGTCCCATCTTACAGTACAGTTACTCCTACTTCCAGTCCTCCACCTGTCTGCTTAAAATCTGATCTAAGTATAAGTGATTTGAGCATGCTCACATGCAGGCCAAGCCTCCCCCACCCTCAGGAAGCAAAGTGCTCATGAGAATGGAGGCCATCACCTGTGAGAACACTAACGGCCCGTCCTCCGAGGCCTGGAGAGCTACAACCTCTTTAATGCGATCACTGCTTCACACTGCGCCCCTCTGCCTCTGCTGCTGGTTGAGTCTACAAAGCAGCTGCTGTGTCAAGAAGGCCCTCTGAGGTGAGTCTGATGGGAAGGGCGACGCCCACTGTGGACGGGATGGACAGTACAACATGCCTTTGTGGAACAAGCTCACTGTCTGGGCACAGCATCTGAGCTACTCGATCCAGAATGAGGCCGTCCCTGCAGACACGCATCAATTACTGTAGAACAGAAAGGTGACGATGCCCCAACAAGCTCACTGTTCCCAAGTCTGAAAGTCTCAATCACTGCCCTAAGAACTAACTGGTTGGAGACATAGCTCAGCAGGTACAGTGTTCGCCTGGCAAATGTGACGCTGAGTTAATTCCCAGGACTATAAAAAAACAATTAAAACAGGATAAAAATGGCTTTTTAGAAAAGAACTACCAACTAGAGATCGCACCGATAATACATAAAACATTTTGCAGAAGCTCACCCAAATACACTATTAGAGAGATACTTTGAGAGAGGACCTGGAGTTTAGAAGTGAGAGTGAGGACAGCCTAGGGCGGACCTGGAGCTCTCCGGTGAATGGGAACCCCTAGTGCGGAGCACAGCCCGGAGCGCAGCCCTTTCAAGACACGCTTGCTTGCTTATCCCCAGCACGATGGTGAAAACCTGAGCACCATAGGAACTAAAGCTAGAGTTAAATCAGTCCCAGTTTCAGGCCTTTATGTTTTTACCCACCAACATAAGACCTTTGACACCAACAATTAGAATAAACCAACAGGATGTACTGGAAAAATAGCCAAGAAGACCAGCCAGGACTCAGTAGCTAATGGAGACCTGGCTTGCAAATGATTGCTTTGAGGATCTATCCGAGTCAGAACTTCTAGCTGGAAGATGCTGTAGATACATTTTATCAGGGAACTCACTGCCCCAGAAGCAAAAGTTATTAGCAAAATGCAAGGTTTCTTCTGTAGAAATACTTAACAAATCTGAAAAGAAATACTGTAACTGGCCAGGAAGCCAGGCTGGGGTATCAATCACATGGTCAAAACTAGCCTAGGCTACAGCCAAACTGTAACAAGCGTAGAGGAATGCTCTGCTTGGAGCCCACTGTGCTAATGCGTCTCAGCAACACACAAAGACACCTTAGATCACAGAAATAATGTTTAAAGCACTCTGTCCATCAAACCCAGAGCAACACTCACAAGTTGCAAGTTTTTTTCTCCAGAAGATGATATAATCACCCCAAAGCTGCTGTACTTGTAACCTGTGGGTTCAGCAAAAACGTCAGTGAGTGGTAAATGGGAGCACTGTCTCACTGTTGAAGTACACTACGGACAAGCAAGAAAAAGCTTCCAAAGGAGCCAGTGGCCGTGCATTAAAGTCAGACACAGAAGCACAAAGTTAAGAATAGATATGCTGGTTGGACACTGGTCCCCAGTGGTTTGCTGAAGGAAACCCCAGGCAGGATAGCCCTGCAGCACGAACATAGCAAGTGTCCAGAGTTTGGTTTCTAAATAAAAAGCACACAAGCTCCCAGGAGAAACAGCCAGGGTTAGAGCATGGGAAACAAAACAAACCTGAGTGTGAGAAAAGCTGCCATTAATGAAATGAAGTCAGCCAGGTGATGGTGGCGCACACCTTTGATGCTGCTCAGGAGGCAGCGGTGGGCGGATCTCTGAGTTTGATGCCTGGTCTACAAAGCGAGTCCAGGACAGCCAGGGTACACAGAGAAACCCTGTCTCGAAAAAACCAACCAACCAACCAACCAAAGAAAAAAACAAAAACAAAGCCGGGCTTGGTGACAAACGCCTTTAATCCCAGCACTCGAGGAGGCAGGTGGATCTCTGTGAGTTCGAGGCCAGTCTGGTCTACAGAGTGAGTCCAAGACAGCCAAGGCTACACAGAGAAACCCTGTCTGGGAGAGAGGAGCCTTAAAACAAACAAACAAAAAACCCAAAACACACACACACACACACACACACACACACACACACACACACACACA